ATTGATGTCGTATATCTAATCAGGTTTCCTCCACCACTGACCGAGTACCTATTATTCTGGACGTTTTTTGCATGCTATAATTTAGTTTTCACTTTCGCCCACATTGTTATTTATAAAACTTCTGTGCCGGGGCGTGGCTTGAAGAACAATAGATTGCATTTTTTTTCGTGAGGATTCAAAGCATCAACTAGCCGAGCATTAAAGGAAGTTAGTATAACTTAATGGTTGATGCAATTATAGTGTTCTTTCTTTTGCCAACTCAAATGCTTTCACCGATTAACCAACAACGAACAGGATGTCCTTATTGGATTTATAATAGAGGGGATATGCTGCATGATAACCTCTGAAATAAGACTCAGAATTCTTTTCTCGAGCTATTAAGTAATTTTACTCTGTTCGATACACTGTGGATTTTGTTTTATTACTATGTTTGGATCTTTTCATAATGAACACTTCGTTTGAAAAGAAGTTAAGATTCAAATCTTTTTGCTGAGTTTGAAATAATTCAATATATTAAAATTTATTACATGTCAAATGAAGTGAGGGTTATTGTTCTTCATAGACTCAGAGAATCTTCCGTTTAAGATCAATGTACTTAAGAAAGCTGGGTATTCTCCATAGTCTTTTCATTTTTGTTTTTCGGAAATTCAATGCAAGATTAGTCGATTTTAAAGATAGATATACCCGTCTAATAAGTTGTTTTAGATCGTTATATCTATCATTTAGGATAAGAAAACGCGCAGTATAACTATTATTGGAGACGTTAAACAACAAGAATCAACATAATGTTTGTAAATTTTACAGGACTAGTTTCGATAATTTAAATACGGAACCACGGAAACTATTCCTGCAAAAATTTACGAACATTACGCTGATTCTTGTTGATTAACTTCTCCAAAAACTTTCTGTAATATTTTTCGGAAGCGTCCATAAAAGTTCTTACTTTACATGTTTAATTACACCTGTAATGAATTTTCTACTTCCTATCTATGTGCATTCATAACGTAATTAGAACTACGTCCATCTAATATTCGGGACATACAGAGTTCGAATCCTTGTGAGGACACTGATAGTTTGTCATGTTTCCCGCTCCAAAATAAGCTTAATGGCTGTACAAGTGGCACATGGGTTAAAATTTAGTGTAACGATGGGGAAGGGAGGGGATTAAAACGTGGTAAATTAAATTGTAGCGGTTGATAATTTTTCATTACTTGGATTTGGTAACGGATTCGCCGCCTCGCTAGTTCTCCTTTAAGTGAGAAAGAATGCAATCTCCTACCTTACCCTCATGTGTCCGTGGTGTAACTGGAAGCAAGTCCGACTGGTGATTGGGAGGTACTAAGTTCGAATCCTGAAGAAGGCACTGTACATCTTCTCATGTTTCCTGCTCAGAGAAGTCTAATAACGCTACACACAAAATATATTTTGCAACTTGAATGAACTAACCAATCAGTATGAAATACATAAGTAAATTTTTCAAAGAATTTTCCACTCGTTTTGTGAACAATTATTGACAGTGAAATTAAAATTAAGCTAAGCGTTATGTTTTCTTGCTAAGTACTTTAATTAGCATTTTATAAATTAATATTTATCAATATTTATGTAATTTATGTCATTTTAAATAATGCAATTGAAATTAATTGGAAACTCGGAAGTAATCGATATGATTTTGGGGACAAGACATTTAACTGCCGAAACGATTTTGATACTTGAATTACTGTTTTTGTAGGCGTTGTTATTGCTTTAAGTATAAAATTATGCCAAGGCAAATTTCAAATGAAAATCATACTGTTTACTGCTGCAACCACAACTCACTGCCTACTCAGATTTTCTTTGTTTCTTTGTATTATTTAATATAGCAAATACGTGGGAGCTAATATACCCATTGAGAGGGATGTCATAGTGGTTCACTTTCTAAGGAAAACTGTCTTGTTTTCACCTTTTAAATTGAGCTGCGAATGTTGTAGTCATGTAACTGAGACTAGTGATGTATAGTGCATTTCAAATACGTTTAAGAATTCATTTTCATATTAAATATGCTTAATATTCACGTAAGCATTTCAGTTCTTTTGGGTGGAATGAAGGGACCGAATATATATGCAATATTTTCTGAAAATAAATAAACTGATAGAGATTTCGGTACCTAATTGCGTAAGTTAGCTAATTAGATTTCTTTGAAAACTTTCAAGTTCATCAAAATTTGTTGGATTTAAATATATGATCTTGTTATTCCAAACGCGTTTATAATCTGGTAATTTTTATCAGCTACTTTGTATTTTTTTAATAAATTGCTTTGTAACTAACGCTTCCTTTATATTTATAAATGACGTATTTGTGGCAAAACGGCATAGAATACCTTTGCTTTTTGAGATAGAATGACGTTTCAGATTCCTGCGTAGTAAATATCAATGGAGTTTCTAGGTTCTATGATTTGGGCTATTTCACTAGTTAAATATAGTGTTACTTCCGTACTCATCTGCTTTAAAATAAATGGCGAAAACTTTTGTTTGGAAAACGGCTGGACTTAGCTAAATCATTCATGACTACGTATTCACTTATTCACGTTCATAGTAATGTCTTTTTTATGTTGATAAATGTGTCAGTTTCCTCAAATTCACTTCTATTTGTGAAATTTAAATTTTCTGCAACTTTAATTACATTCTGAGATAGGCCTAATGCAATTCGATTCACATCGACATGAAGAAAATATAAATGTCATTTTTAACAATTTCTTTCATCATTAAGATAGTGGAAATTTTTCATCATCAAGATAGATTTATTTGCTACGTATCAATTTATCGTGAACAATCACAACAAAATGTGTCTTAGTTATTTCTAATGAGATTTTTAGTAACAAGTTTAATAATAACATTAATAAGATCACTAGATATTGCAAGTGATATCAGAGTCTTTTATAGTATAAATGATGAAAGTTTTTCATGGGTAGCTGAAAATTCCAACATTTCTAATTTTTTTAAATATTACATCTATCTCCATGTTTAAAAGAGCAGTTTTGGGGGACTAAAATATCTCAAAGCACAATCGCTTTCACGAGACGGAAAGAATTATTAAAATAACTCTCACTAATGCTTGATAACAAGCGATAGTTTAATAATTTAATGTACTGAAGTCATTCTCTTTACAAAATTCTGTTCTGTTGAAGGAAGCATACGAAGTAAATGCGTTCCTCCTGCTCACTTCAACAGTGATTTAATAATATCTCTTAGTTTAACAAAAAAAAAAAAATCGTAAAATTATTTATGTAAGACAACTCAGGAAAATGAGTATAAATTTATACACACACAAGCGAGGAATTTCAGGATTTTACTATTAGAAAAGAAGGCAAAATCTCTTTTCTCAGTGAAGATTATGCTCATATAATCGTGCATGTTCTCCAACGATTTCTTTGTCCCCGCCGTTTTATTACTGTCGAAAAGTCTTGAGACTTTGAAGGCAGGCTGTCTGTGCCTGCCTTAAAAATATCTATGATAGATACTCCTTTCAAAAGAGGAAAATATTAGCTAAGGTATTTCGTTTTAATTAATCTGAAGTGCCAGGTATCAGCACTGCTTTTCTCCGGACTCGCTATTAATTTATCTCATCCGGAACATAGGCTCTTGTGAAAAGATTTGCACAAATCCAATGACAGTATGCATTTCCTAATACTGATGATGGTGTGCGTGGGAAAATTTAGGATCCCCAAATCATTATGTAATGGAATGCCCCTTAACAAAACAATACCATATTAAATTTTCTGCCGTTAATGTCATCTCTTTAAAAAGATTCCTTATTAAGCAACCATCTTGTTCTTAAAATTTGTAGAACTATGAATCCTACGTTTTGCATATTTACCAACCCACTTAAAAGTTTGGATATGATAGTAGCATATGTACTTCTTTTCTTAAAATTTCTTTATTTTTTTAATAAATTCACATATTCGTAGCTTTATTTTTATGACCATAAAGTGTAAAGGAACATAAACTTAATTAAGGCATTATGATTATTTGTATGATTCTTTTTGTGAATATTTGATCGAATATTATGAATTCCATGAATTGTGGACACTTTATGAACTTTATTTTTAATGCAAATGTTTTTTTTTTAATTTTTTTTCTTTCATATTAATATATTTCAAAATTTATATATTTAAATTATGTATTATTAATAAATTAGATCAGAAATTTAAACCCAATTCTACCTGGTATAATGAGCTGGTAATAAACGAAACATTTTTGCCAAAATCAAATTGTGAATAACTAAGATAAAATGTACAACTTCTAAATTCAGTGCTTGTAAGTTCATCAAAATTTCTAAATTTAAAATGAAAAAAAAAAAAAAAAAAAAATAGTGGCATGTAGGCGAAATGCATTCTGCACACACTGAATTTCAAATCACTTTAATTATTATTACATTTTATCTTACTTATTATTACATGTTATCTTAATTATTCATAGTGGTTTGTTGCAAAATGTTTAATTTATTGCTAGCTCATTATACCAATTTGAACATGTATTATGTTTAAATTTTCAATCTAGTTTATCAATATTGTTACCGGTTACTGCAGCATACAACGCATAATTGGGGACTGGCTTAAAACTTTTTTCTTTAATTGTTTATTTGTTATAAATTATGCATTGTAATATGAAAATATAAATAATTTGGTTATTATTTAAAATTAAAATAACTAGTTAAGGACCGATGTGGGGCCAATACCTGTTAACTATTTGGAAAGACTACTTTTCCTCATTCCTCATCAATTGAACTTAACTGCTCTCATAAAGGTCTGTGTTTTTATATCTGTTATGGGATACAAAGCATAAAATAAATTGCCCTTTTTTATAAAATTACAGAATTTCTAAATTCAAATTAAATTTCAGGTTTAGTAGCTGAAGGAAGTATTTATTGTTATCGTGGAATGCATTCTGAATTAACTGAAGAATAATAAATAAAAGTATGATTGATGTCTTAAATTGATTACTTTCATTTTTCTATTTTCTCAGGTCACATTCGCATCAAAGCACAAACCCAAGGAATGTGCCTCTCCATGACAACACTGTACGTGATCGGAGCCGTGATTGGAGCCATCCAGCTGGTTATTATATTCGCATGCGCTGTTTTTTTCTTCTACCGGAGCGATTGCGATGCGAAAGAAAGGAGTTGTAGCACTTCTACCAGAAGTTGGCCATCCGTCTCAAGTCGGCGAAAACTCGTCTGCAACCAGTCCTAGATTCGACCTGAAATTAACGAACAAATCTGTGGAACTCAAAAGTTTGATAGCTCAAAATATCATTACTAAAGCAATGTGCCTTTCTTATTTTCGCCTGAAAAGCTTCAGGCACCACTTTTTTCCTCTCGTTTATCAGTTCAAAACGACTTAAAAAGTCAAACACGTTCTCTTTCTTCTATTTTATTGATCGCGTTGAAAAATATTTATCTATTGTTTTATATGTTATATGTTTCCGAAGGTTTTTCCAAATACAATTTGTGTTTATAAATTTTGGGAGCTGACTTTAAGTGAAACGTTTTCTGATGTGATATTCAATAAACATTAATAACATTTAAAATAGGTTTTCTGACCACAGGGCCATTTGTTTAGCCTAGAATTTACCAAAACAAGGTATAAGATTTCTAATATGTTAATTAAATATATTTTTTAAAGTATTTACTTAACTGTATTAAATTAGATAATTTAAATTCTAATATATAAGGGTCTGGATTATTTTCGAATAGTAAAAATCCTAATTAAGGGTACAATTTAAATTCTAATTAAAAGCACCTGAATTATTTTCAAAAACAATGACTTCTAGTAAATTAGAGAATTCATGTTATAATTAGCAGGCATGCGAAGTATTCCTAATAAACAGGAATTCTAATACATAAGTGATTTATATTTTAGCAAATAAACCTAAATTAATTTTAAGAAAACAGAAAATCAAGTTAAGTTCGGAGGTTTAAAATTTAGGTAATAAGAATTTTAATCATATTTGTTAGTCAAATATGAGTTATAGCTTGTAATATTTTTTAGTCATTATAAATGAAAAATTCTAATCCTGTGCTTTAGCATTTTCATTCTTACCCACCTATTTTTAAATTCTTATTTATTTATTTCTTAGCTAGCTTTTCTTTCTTTTTTCCCCTCTTCTTCCAGCTTTGGAACGTTCAGTGCCATTCATTATTCCCTTTCAGCTAGTTTGCAAATTATTTTATTAAAAATATGATGTTCTACTTCATGCTTTTATTATTTTAATTTATATTTTCAGTGTCTATCTTGATTTTTTTTTTTTTTTTTGAAGTCGTACTGTTTAACATGTGTTTCATTTTAAAAACCCAGTGGCAGCTATTTAATAGAATGAAGTGTTTGTTCTTCATTCTGCACTGTAAATATTTGATCTCGCGATTTTGTGTTTTTCTACTATTTTTCACCGAGTGTATTAATCAGATGCTCAACATGAAATGTGAAAACACTCATGTGTATGTGTATTGTTTTATTTATTTCAAACCTCCTGATATGTTAACGGCTTATGTTTTGAAATTCGTCATAATACAACGAATAACATGGGTTTGAAAATAAGCAGAAACAGACTACGTACGTACATCATCTAATTTAGAAATTAATTTAGTTCTTTATACATTCACAAGTACAATTGCTAGTTCAAAAATGAGAAAAATTTTAATCTATAAAGTAATTGGATGAAAAGTGTTTCTGATGATAAGCAGTTCCAGAATATTATAGCTTATTTTCAGATTAGTAACTTAAATAACATATATTTCGTTTTATTATGGCGAAAACATTTCTAATGAGGTGATAAAACATAAAAACCCAGGGTTGTTGATTCAGGTGTGTGGTCTTAAGGGAGTCAGTGTGGTTGCGTTTTCTTGTTGGTTAATGTTTTCTGTGTTTTCAACTTTTATGTATATTTTACATGCTATGGTTGTGAATAAAGTTGAAGCTGTACTTTTTTAGACCAGGCTCATATTATTATCAATAAAATACGCAAACATAACACCAAATTTTTTCGCAAATAATATGCCAAAATAATTGGAGTATTTATGTCATTACTTTCCTTTGCAAAATGAAATTAGGGTCTAGAATATCTGTAACTGAATATTCAGAATAAAATAGTCTTACAGATACGAAACTGAAGTTCGAAAGAAATTAAATAATAATGTATAAGTTAAAAGAAATTAAAACCTCTGCTTGAAAAACATGAAATTTTGATTCTCGTTTTCATTTAACTAAGCGCACTTTCACATGTGCGTAAGAAAACTGGTTGATTTTTATTTATCCTAATATCCTGCAACTCAAAATGACTAACAGGGTTTTTACTTAACAAAATTTATATTTTTCAATTAATTACTTTTGAAGCAAACAAAACGAAACATATTATTATATCTACACTAAAATACTATATTTGTTCTTCAAAAAATACATGTCTGCTTATACCCCTCCTAGCTTCAGAGAAATAATTTTTATATCAAAACATATTAGCTATTAACAGCTTCCTGTTGATTGGATGCCTTAGCAGTAACATAAGAAGTCAATTTGTAACACATGGAGTGGGTTTCAACTAACTTTGTGATGTCACTTACCATAAAAACAATGTATTATGTTTGTTTCCAGTTGTGAATTACTACCACCAGAATAGTTAACCATCAAACAGGAACAGAATTAAAATATTAAGTTTATTCTAATTCTACCTTACACTTTTTGAGTGCTGCCCAGACGGGAAAAGTAGTTAATGACGCTACCTGCAGCACCAAGGGACCCGGATTCGAATTGCGGATAAGGCATGGATGTTTGTAAATGTATAGTGTTTGTGCGGCATTGAGTCACTCAAAATATTTGGCGACCCCAATGTGCTCTTTACAGGCTGGAGGTTGAGGAAGAATAGTGGGATACCCTCGGATTCGTTCCCCGAGGTGCTCTTCTTCAAAACTGGGGCGAAACAAAGCAAAGTCGAACTGTCTCTGTACGGTGTTCAAGGCCCTTGCTAATGACAGACGAAATCTAATACTTCTTGTTATGACAAGAAATCCGTGGGATTGTTCTGATTAGATCACACAAGTGAGATTAGTCATAACAATAACATTTGTGGGTAATTAAATTAAAATATAGAGCATAAATTTGCCAGCCAATCTGGACCTGGTTTCAACACAAAGCTTCCTTTTACAAATACTATAAATTCAACAAAATGCAGCCTATTCAGAGACTACAGGATAACGTAGACCACGACACAATTTCGAACCCATGCTTACGAAGGAGGATCTAACTTCTGCCTAAAAAAAGCAAAAACAGTCTTTCTTGTGCCGGCAGATGCATTAATAAATATTTTGTAAAATAATAAAAAGTCTCACATTCATCTTCGTAAAATTCTACACTTTACAGTCAAGCTGCATAAATTCTGGAATGACCTTGTGGCGGAAAGAGGCAGAAAGGAAACAATTAAATTAACATTTCGTTAGTAAAACTTAAACATGAATGCTGCAAATTTATATGGATTTTGTGTGTTACAGTATTATACGCTGTATTCTAAATTAAATTAAAGCAAACAGAATAACGTATTATTAAAAAAATTGCTACTTTTCCGTTTCGCCGGCGCAAATCTCGGCAAGCAGATTTTATTGGCGACAGCATACAGAATAAGCATGAAAAATGATAGTTCTAAGAATTTTTTATTTTGAAGGCACAAACATTTTAATATTGTTTAAAATTTTGAAAAAAGCCAATAAATTTGAAAAAAGACATTAATTTAAGGATTTACTATGCTTTCATGGTTCAACATCCTGATTCCCCGGCACATATAACGTGACCCCAAGTAATCTCATCTCGAGTAAACTACGTTACAAAAATCTAATTCTCCTAGTAATTATCTACATTAATTTCAAGCTAAATCTTAATTTGGAATGCAAGTTTAAATGCAAGAATTATTTCAATTCGTACGAACAGCTTACTCAAAAATTATGTAAAACCGTAGTGCTTTACTTCGCTAGTGCATTCTCATTAGAAATGATGAATTTAACCCTTGAATTTTCTATATTTTCGCCTTCGGGTGAGCAGTGATTGCATCCTAATTGACCTAATTACCGCGAATGGCATTAGAGCATAAAACTGAACTATAGAATAGATAGAAAATCTATGTAATTGTATGCCAGTATTGAAAGTAATAATCAATCTGATAAGAAATGGCTGCGATTTGTTTTGAAAATGATGCGTAAAAGGTTACCAGCGAGAATATTCCGTTAGACAACAGTTGTACCATTATTGGCGACTTTATCGCCTGCGCCGGCAAAACGGAAAAGTACAATTTTAAGTTATAAAATAAGCATTTAAAATATTGTATAATATATTCTAAAAAAATATTATTCTTCTCGTCGGGCACTTACTGCTGTACAGCATAAGAAGTAGCTGGTATTTATTGTTTTCTATTCAAGACACAGAGGTTGTAAAGATATTGATTATGGATTCAGTTACATTTGTTATATTCAGAAACAACAGAGTTAAATCATTATTTCCTGCTTTGAATGCTTGTTTATCTTTGCTTAAGATTAAAGGATATTTATGTCATTTTTCTCAGAAAAGTGCACATTCATTTGCATTAAAATCTCATTCAGGTAAATATCTTTGCTCTTCCATGATTTTTTATAGTGTTCGTTAGTTTTTCTTAGTCTGCCGAAGTTGTTTTTCTTGTTATATTGAAATTTTATAACCAAATTTCTATATAAATTTATCATTATCTCTTTCTTCACTTCCAACATAAAGTGAAGGATTTGAATCCAGTACATTTAATGACTTTGATAGCATTAGGTTCAGGTTCTTTGGCTTTGTATCCTTAGCCTTTACTTTGTTTTAAGCTCTCATGCTAAAGTTTGGCATTTTTACAAAATGGAATTAAAAGTCTATAGATAGGCTTTTACCATAATAATTTTGCATATACAGCATACATAGTAGGCACCGCTTAATATAATCATGTTTGTCCACGGCTATTTTGACAACATTAACTGAATGATAACATTAAGCAATGAAGCAAATATCCTTTAAAATAACAATAATATGATATGAGTATAACTAGACACATATAAACAGGCTATTTCACAACATTTTAACTAGAAAAATGCGAAAGTGTGTTTAGGAAGTGTTCATAGTGTCTGCAGTGCAAACGTTTATTTACGAACTACTAATAAAGTTTTCGGAAATTATTTGAACGATGCTCTATCCCACTCTTAATACTCGAGGGCATCTCTCACTGGAAAAAAAGAAGTCAATGTAAAATTTAAAATTAGTCAGAAAAAGCAGCCTTACTTTGCCGTAATGTTTTTTAGGTAACTATTTTTTTTTTTTTTTTTTTTTTTTTTTTTTAAGTCCAAAGCGTCAATTTGCCCTGAAGGACTATTAGTTTCGTTTTGGCATTTTGCGTTGAAAACTTTAAAAATTTGTGTCTTTTTTCAAATCGTTGCTATCATATATTATCACCCTGTCTTATATTTAAAGAAATTAAATTATAAAGAATCTGCATAAATGTATGTTTCTCGCATTGTGATAAAACAACGGTACCTAGAGCTATCAAAATTTGAATAGCGTAATCAATCTTCCTTAGAATATGGGCATGTGGAAGCCCTAATTTGAATTTGAAATTAGTTTTATTATCGATTTCAGATTTTGTAACACTTCAACGAATTTTTGATTAAAAAACTAAACGATTTCAAAGTGAGCATTGGCAACACTGTAACGGGGGGGGGGGGGAACATTTTTATCTCCAGTACGCGAGATTCTGTAGCGGAAATTCTAAAGATATGCTCATTTTAAAATTAATTTGCGATATTGCTGTTGAACTGAATTTTATAGTTTGAGTATGTAGAACATGATATTTTATAAATAAAGGTAACACACAAAAAGTTAAAAAAAACGCCCCTTTGGTCGTAATTTAAAATCTGAAAACTTTCAGATTTCTTTTTTTTTTTAGTCCCAAAGGCCTTTTAGTCTCGAAACTTGATTTTGAGTTGTTTCACAATTCATTCGAGTCTGTTGGCATTCAAGAAAACGTAAGATGTTATTCTTTCACATTGAAGCTGTCTGTTATTAATTAACAAACTAAAATATTTAAAAGCAAGTGGTTAAGCTCTTAAGAATATTATTTTTTTTTTATTTTTAATCTGATCGATTTAAATAAAAAATACATTTTATTCATGATATACATAATTAAATGGCAATAGATATTTTTCACAGAATTACATTATATATTTTTTTTTATTTTTTAATATACAGAAGATATTTAACTTTCCCCATGTTAATCTAAATGCATATTCATCTAATGTCCTTTAAAATGTTTCGCAATTCCACCTGGGCCATCTCTGTCACTCATCTCTCCTCATAAACCATATTAAACTTTGAAAGAGCCCTTTTGTGCGATCTTTAAAATCTGAACCCTTTCACGGAGTTAATTATTCAAGTTCTACGTCAAACTAAGTTGCTGTTTTGCCTCATTTTAAAATGTTTGCTGACATTGAAATGAAGTTGTCGGCTTCATTTCGATTTCAGGCGAAATGATTAGGTGACATTTCTGGTCACTTGATAATTTTTAAATTTTGTTTTGACTTTATTTGGCGATTCCGCATCAGTTTACAAAATTTATTCTATAATATTTTTATTTTATTAAGCGAACTATTGATCACAAAGCGATATATTTTCCACATTTTCGTATACAAGCAGGCGAGGCTTCGGCAAATCGATAGCAATAGCCGAGAAATAACATTAACCGCGGTCACATTAAGCCGCGTCTTCTGTATATGAAAAATGCATTTCCAATGGGAAATAAACGCATTTCATGAAATATGCAAAATTTTTTAAATGGCGTTGGTAAAATAAAAGTTTCGTAAGTTCTGCGTCTTTCTTTTACTGCTGTCTCTTTTATACTTGATTCATTTCTTTAGAAATATAAGGCTAGTGCATCTGCAGACTTATCAAGCA